AAGTACAACAACTTTATTTTATAGTTTTAATGTTCCCAGATTGTAATGTTTTATTTATCTTGACTCAAATCTTTCTGCTTTTTGAAAGCAAAGGAAGCCATTTCTTTTTAAGAGCACATTTCATGACTTTACCTGAGATTACTAGATCCTTAATAAAAAGGTCTGAGTGCTTTTTGTTTAGATTAAAATCCAGCCACTAAGGTAAAAGGTGTTTTGTTTTAAATATCATCTTAATCATCCAAGGCTCTGTTTGGTTTTAGCATCTATGTGTACCATAAGTTGTTTTAGTGCCTTTTTTAAATTTTGTGAAATGGAAAAATCATTATTTTATCATCACTGATACCAGTAACATAAAAAAACCCGCAAGGTGTACTGTTAACTCTCCATTTTTTACATGTCATTTATTCTAGGCACCTGAATCTTACAAGAATGTGACAGATGTGGTTAACACCTGCCATGCAGCTGGCATCAGCAAGAAAGCAATTAAATTGAGACCCATTGCAGTAATCAAAGGCTAGCAAAACCTTTAACTAAAATTGGCCAGCACGGTCCTTGCCCAAGACTTCCTCTGACCCAGAGTGCTTGGTGACCTTGTTTCTAATCTATATGGAGAATGCAGACTGGCAAACTCTTTCTTGGAAAGAAGAAGAAGAAAAAAACACTTCTGTTTTTGGTAGGAAAGATAAGCCAAGATATACTGACTTCCTGATTTCACACACACTTCTGAATATGGATTTGTTTCTGCTATCAGGAATCTAATTGCATCCCAGTGGACTGCTCTCTCTCCTCTCCACAGTTAGTTTCTGACTAACTTTAATTAGATAGCCATCAGTCTGCAAGAAGGCTTAGGGTGATGTGGATCAAATACAGATGATTCAGTTCAGAGAAGTTCTTAATTGGTTGTCTTTGGTTTCAACTGTTTTGACTGAGGATATAATAGGAATATATGATTTTGTGCACGTCTTATGCTCTGTGGTAGAAGCTTCAGTTTCCATGTTTTGTTCTCTCAAAGTGAATACTTAAAGAGAAAAGCAAGACCTACTATGTTCGCCTCAAGAAGTTGAAAAATGTTCTGCTCCTTGTAGCTAATGTTCGTAGGCATATGCTCAATATGCATGAGCAGATGTTCTAGGACAAAAAATAATGCCAAAGGACTTCAGAAGGCATTAGAGTCCACTGGAAGTTCTCCTCAAAGGGCTGGTTATAGCAATGTCAAGAGCCCTGGTGCTCTTCTCTTTATTTTGCATTAAAGTACACAGCACCTGAAAAGGATTAGGCCCTCTGGGGCAGAGGTTTTGAAGTTTCCAAATAAAATGACAGATGCAAGAAAATCATGGCCAAGTGTCTTTATTTACCTTTCTATTAAAGGAAATATATGCTTGCATGCAAAAAAACTGAAGCTGAATGTTGTGCTTGAATACCATGACAATCCCTGCATTGTTGCCACCACTCTGCAAGCATGATTGACCCAAAGCTTTGCATCTCACCTCTCCTTGCATCTTTCTTGTCTGAGATTGCAATCCTTTGCTCTTGTAGCTGGGAATAAGGTCTATTTAATTCAGTGGGCCGTGTCTTACTATATAAATGCATTGCATTGTCCTCAGTTAATGCTTTTTCTTGCAAACTCTGTAAATCAAAGTGCCATCACTAGAGGGCATCTAAATAAAGGTAAACTTCCAGAGAAATGCAGAAGCTCTAGGCTTGCATAGGAGAACTTGAAGCAAGCTGCCTGATAAAAAATGCAATCCAAGTCTTTCTTACTGTATTTCCTTTTGGGAAAGATTGCTTAGTTAATGCTGGCTAATGTCAACAGCGCTTTGGACTTCTGAAAAAGCTTATTAAAAAGTAATATTGTTGAAACACAGGCCATAAAAAAAAACCACTGCAAAACTTTTTGCAAAGGCTATATAAAATCTTTGCCTTTCAGCATGACTCCTATGAGATGAATCTCTCCACCTCTTCTCTTTCTTGTTGGCATGAACAATTCATTGAGATTTTAAGTTGAGAGTTTCCCTGTTCTTTATTGTCTATACAAATGCAAAAACTGCCAAATGCAATGGCCTGCTAATTGATAGAAGGGCTCATGTTGTAGGGTTGCAAACTGTGCAGTGAAACTCTTTCTATTCTGTCCAACTGAGGTTTCTCCAAACTGGTGCTTTTCTAACTGTGTTGCATTATTTACATCAGAGGTGGATATCATGTGTCCTGTGGGTTGCATGTTACCCCAGAGCCAATTTTTCCAGGTTGGAAGGCCTCCAGGAGGTCCCTGAAGTTTAAAAACGTGGAAAAGTGTTGTGGGAGGAGTGATAAAATGACCTATTTCTGCTTGTGGCAGCATAGCTGGAAGAACAACAGATAGTGATAAACTTAAGCACTCCTGTTAAGAGGTGAATATAATATTTGTGATGTTCATTTACAGGTTGATCTTCTGATTTTTTTTAATGAGTTTATAAATTAGATAATGGCGTAGGTAGGTCGCATTTATTATTATGACTACTTTGTTGCAAGAAGCAGTAGCTAGAAACACAAAGCCCATCCTCAGAGCCAGGTATAAATTATGGCTTAGGCAGGGTCCAAACCAGATGCAAAATGGCAGCTTATGAGCCAAATCCTGCAAGACAAGTCAACATCTGAATTGCTACAGACTATAGAATCCAGCTAAATGTCTAAAGGACAGTTCTTTTGTTGCTGTTAAACCACTGGGAGTTAGAAAGGCTAACCCAGGAGTCTCCCGGCAGGCATACATTTGGAGTAAAGAGTGTTTTATGAATCTTCTCATCAAATTCCATGGGTGATCTCAAGTTTGTATTTGTGAAATGGGAGAATAAGGAGTTCTGCTGCATCCACTGTGCTCAGTTCCTTCTTGTGCCCCTTGCTAAAGAAAGGAATTGCCTATGAGCCAGGTTATCCTGCCTCGAGCTGCAGGCTACCTGCCCCTCAGCTGGTGGTCCTGCTGTGCTCCTGTTTTGTGGTTGTAGTCAAATACATCCTTGCAGGGGCAGCCCCTTATTCCTGGGCACAAGCAGCCGTGCCATATCTTTGTTCTTTTACAACATAAACAGAATTAACTAGCTCCCCGCTCCCTTCAAAGCAACTGCCTCCCTGAAGCATGTGTCAACATGTGTGTATAGCTTTAGGCAGAAGTCTTCAGTTGCATAGAGGAAGCCTCTTTGTAGCTGGTGCTTTTCTTTTTGTCCTTTGTGGATGTAATCCACAGAGCTTAAAAATTCCATTGGTCAACTGCAGCACAGCCAAGCCAGGTATTAAAGATTGCTAAAATCCTAATTCATTGGAGGACTTGGAGAAAATCTAGTATGGCTCACACGTTTTGAATATCACTCTTAAGATGCAGCTATAAGAAATTTCAAGAAAATTCAAATGGAATTGTTTTTGTAATGTGAAAATGGGCAATAGGGGAAGAAATTACAAAAATATTGTCTTAAAAACCAAATGCAGGCATGCTGTGTGAAGTCTACATCCCTTAAGAAGAAACACATATAGGGGACACAATCTCAGTTCTTTAAAAGGAAGTATTTCTGTTTGTTCTTCTATCTCCTACGAGCAAGTCTGCTTACCCTTCTTTATGATACTCTGTAGGTATTTTTCCCAGTCTGGCAATTTTCAGACTTGTTTGAGCAAAATTTCCCTCATTCCAGCCAATAAGGCCAAGCTGTGGTTGTAGTCAAACACATCTGGAAGACTGCTTAAAAGGTAATCTGATTAATATTGGAAGTTGTGCTTTGCAGGCAAAGCAAGTGTTATCTCACAGAAGCCCCCACCAACCAGCATGGTCAGTTGGGCTTCTGAGAGTCCCAGGGTCTGGACCAGAACATGTAACAAGGAGACAGGCCCTTGTGATATGACAGAGGGAGGGCAGGCAAGGGTTGGGGTCAGACCCTGGTTTTTAAAACGTGCTCAAGGGCAACCTGAATAAATAGGTCCAGAATCTGACTATATAATGGGCAGAATCTCCTTCCCCCCCCCCCGTGGGCAACAGAAATTGATGAACTAGCCCTGTGTCCAGCACCTCCTCAATTAGTCAAGATTTGTTTCTGTGTGCAGAAAAATAAAAGGATTTTGACCCGTATGGCGAGTGAAATCTAGAAAGAAAAAAACCCTGTGTATGGGTAGGCAGCAAAATGTGCCTAGGCTGTTGTCATTCCTGCTGGGTCTCATATCCTGCACTGCCTTATCTAAAGCACTTAAGAACTTGTGAGGAAATTTCCCCCAAGATGCTGGGACTTATAGAAAGCTTGCTGACAGTCCACAGGGAGCTTCTAAACCCCATCAGAAGACGCTGTCCCACTGCTGCAAAGAATGATATAACTGGAAGGCATGCAGGTTAAAATGGTAATGTTTAAGTTCCTGCTTTGCTCCAAATGACACGATGGACCAAGCAGGTGCATTCACCTGCTCTCTCCCCAATTCCCTGCTAGTACTCTTGGGATTTTGGTGCCCTGACATAACACAAGCAGAGCTGGTATAAAAAGGCCTCAGAATCCCAGTGCCACCTGAGAGCAAAATGGCTCTCTAAGCTTTACATGAGGAATAAGCAAGAGAGTCTCACGCACCTATCCCTGAACTGTGGAGAGCTGCACTCGGCTCCATGTGCCGCCCACCACCAAAATAATTGTTTTGTTTTATTACCAGAAAAGCCGCTAAGTGGCAAACATGATTTAAATGTAATTGGAAGCATAGAGACAGAGATGTGGGGAGCCCAAAGCATGACAATACTGTCTTCCACATCCCCTATAGGGCACAATAATTCTTAACTAAAAAGGCTCGGGTATATGTGAGAAATGTTAGGGGCCAGGAGTGCCCTGTTTGGGTCACAGTGGGAGCTGGATTCCAGCTGCAGTCTGCTTTTTGTCCACCTCTGTTTTAAAGCCAGTGGTGCTGCGAGGGACGTGGTGCCGCTGCGGACTAACCCGCAGAAGCCTCTGTGCTGCAGGGTCAGAAGGCCAGCAGTCGTAAGATCGAATCCACGCAACGGAGTGAGCTCCCGTCGCTTTGCCCCAGCTCCTCGCCAACCTAGCAATTCAAAAGCATGCAAATGTGAGTAGATAAATAAATACCACCTCGGTGGGAAGTTAAAACGGCGTTCCCTAGTCACGCTAGCCACGTGACAACAGAAATTGTCTTCGGACAAGCGCTGGCTCTACGGCTTGAAAAACAGGATGAGCACTGCCCCTCTAGAGTCAGACACCACTGGACTAACAATGTCAAGGGGAACATTTACCTTTACCTTTACAATACACAAGAATCAAATTTTGGTCTCCTCTAATTTTATTCACCCTGAAATTTCTTTCTCCACTTGGAGACCTAGACAACCACAGCAGTTTATTTAGACTCCACTTGGCTCCCCTACAAGCGACAGTAGCAGGTAATGGTGTTAAGATCTGTTCTATCTAGCTTGGCACAGGCTCCTTATCCAGTCCACTGTCCTTCCTTGTTATTGTAATCCAAGAAGGGTGATCACCTAAGCGTGAATCCATCACCTCAATCCCAGCAGGCTCCCTTTGCATGCCTCAGCACGATCTGGTTGTGGGACTGGTTGCTCAATCATGTGACATCAGCCTACCGCAGCATGAAAGTACGTACGTGCTTTTTGGCATGGAATAGGATACTGGCCCAAGTGTGCTGAGGTCAAGACTCAACTATATCTCCAAATCGATTTTATTTCTGTGCTTACAGGTGGTCCCAGATATTAATGGTGGATGACAGATTTCTATGGCCAGTAGCATTCCTAGCTAGACCACAACACTGTTACTGCGTGGCTTTTGCCACCCACAAGCAATAGTTTTCATCCTTCCTAGTGTGGAACATGAAAGTGATAATTTTGAATGTTCTAACTATCACCTTGCAAGCTACCACTGATCATTATGAAGGATTACTGTAAGCACCCAAACACTTGCTTATCGTTTATATTCTGCCGAAAAATATTTTGTGCTTGCCTTCAAATTCCAAAACTATAATAATTTTTCGCATAGCAGTTCTTTTCATCCTCAAGAGATTTCTATTTGGAAAGAGGAACAGAAGGAGCTTGGGTGCCTTGTGATCAGTCAAACTCATTCCCCATGCTGTGACTACTACTCGTTCTTCAGATTTGTTTCCTAAGATGGCTGTTTCCATACCACCACTCCCAAAAGGAAATGCATCACTGCCACCAATGGGAAAAGAAAAAAAGCAGAAAGAGGGAGAGATCTTCATAAAAGATGCCCATTGTAATGGGGGTGGAAAAATGCAAATTTAAAAGGGATAACTATGGGCTGAATAGAAATACAGTGGGAGGTAGGTTTATCAGAGCTCAAGGGGTGTGGCTGGAGTCTAA